ACATAACATTTTTTTATTAAACAAATATTTCGAACGCGCCTTCGTTCCTCTTCAGTGTTAGACGACTACTAAATTAAAATAGGCCTTTCTTAAATAATATGTACAAGTCGTATATTCATTACAAATAAACTATTTAAACAATGTATATAGAGAGTCAGAGCTGATAGAAATAAACTATTTGAGTGGTGGTATGAAACAAAGGGTAAATAAGCCAAGAAATTTAAGAACTGAAAAAGGTGTAGCCGCTAAGAAAGCCGAGGTCTTTGTTTAGGCCATGGGAATGAGTTTTAAGTTTTAGTATCCAGTTGAGTTCAGAACAGTGGCGATGAGAATGTGATTTAAAGTTAGAATCAATGAGAACGCATTTAAGGACTTGTAGGGAGTGATCTGGCTGATTAAAATGATTGGCTACATGAAAGCCTTTAGAATGGTCTCTGATTGATTTTTTATGATTATTAAATCTAGACGGAATTTGGTTTTAGATTCTCCTATGTAGTTACCTAATGTGCATTTGGTGCAAGTGATGAGGTAAATGACGTTAGATGAGTTGCAAGTAAGTTGAGGGGGATGGATAGTACATGGCCGGCGGAACCGGAGGGCCGGGGGGGCGGGCCCCCCACTTTTCGGGAACAAATATATAATGTCTGGAGATTTTTGTATGATCGGAAAGAAATACAAGAAAAGAAAGAGGGAAGGAGGAGAAGGATGGCGAAAGAGAATGTTTATCAAGTCCCCGATCGAGTTACATTTTCTCGCAATTCACATTGGCGGATCTGGGGGAGGGGGTCATCGGTCCTGACCCCTCCCTTGGGCCAAAAAAAGGGGGAAAGAATTCTAAACCTACCATTTCACCTACCCGTGAGCTGATTTTTTTTTTTTTTTTTTTTTTTTTTTACACTTAAGAAAATTAAAAATTTTTAAGAACATGAAAGTCATTAAAACACAATTCAAATGTCGAAAAAGCTCTCGGACCACCCTTTCTTGTTGGGATTTATCGATTCATGGAAAAAAGTATACGCATTCAATACTCATTTGTCTATGTATACACACATAAAATAAAAAATGAGAAAAATTTACCTGACCGTTTTCAAGAGGGGAAAACCTTGAATTTTGAAGAAATTAAAAAGTCCATTTATAAATGACATTTCAGAAGTCAAGAAAGCTCATTTCCCGCCATCTAGAAATCGGAATTTTCCCGGGGAACCCGGACCCCTTTCTTCTTTGGTGTTCGTTGATTCATTATAATAATTTTCAAGAGGGAAAAACCTTGAAATTTGAAGAACTTAAAAGAAAATTGAAAGACACCTCAAAAGTCGGGAAAACTAATTTCCGCCTTCTAGGAATCAAAATTTTCCCATGGGAGAACCCCCCCCCCCCTTTCTTTTTGGGATTTATCGATTCATGGAAAAAAATCGTATGCAACTACTCTTTTTTTTTATGTATGTATACACACATAAGGCCTATTTTTACTGTAAAAGCAATGGGAAAAATTACTTGGGGAAAAAATTCAAGGGGAAAACCTTGAATTTTGAAGAACTTAAAAGTAATTAAGACACCTCAGAAGTCGGAAAAGCTCATTTCCCGCCACCTAGGAATCTTTTTAGGATTTATCGATGCATAAAAAACAAAAATTCGTAAGCAACTACTCAATATTTTTTTTATGTATGCCTATGTATACTCACATAAGGCCTACTTACTGTAACAACAAGTGGAAAAAAAATTACCTGACCGTTTTCAAGAGAGGAAACCTTGAATTCTGAAAAACTTAAAAGTAATTAAAAGACAACTTAGAAGTCGGGAAGCTCATTTCCCGCCTTCTAGGAATCTACATTTTCCCGGGGAGAACCCCCAGACCCTACTTTTCTTTGGAGCTTATCGATTCATTTGAAAAAGAAGACGTAGGCCTACGCAACTACTCATTTTTTTTATGTATGCTTACACACATATCAGGCTTATTTACTGTAATAAGAATGGGAAAGTTTACCTGACCGTTTTTAAGAGCGGGAAAATCTTTAATTTTAAAGAACAAGTCATTAGACACCTAGCTCAAAAGTCGAGAAAAGTCATTTGACGCCATCTAGATATCAACATTTTTCCGGGGGAGGACCCCGGACCCCCTAGATTTGATTCCAGATCTGCATGATTCATATTCCCATTCATCTTATAGGTGTGCCCCCCCCCACTTTGAAAAACGTTCCGCCGGCCCTGACAGCAACCGTCAATATCAACATAGTTAACGAAATTTTGTCATCCTCCTTCAACAACCAACAACATGAATAATATAATAGTCGCTTAGTGACTGTTGTACTATTAATAAAGAAATACAACAGTTCCATGTTACTTGTTTTTACTAAATTATTATTATTGTTTTTTCTTAATTAGCTGGTTTTAGGCCGAAGGAGATGTTGTTAGTGTCGGATAATTTGACAGATACATCCAGGAACGGTATGTTAGTGGTTGAGAAATCCATTGTGAATTTGATGGTGTTGTGAAAATTGTTGAGGTGTGTAGCAAATTCTTTAAGAGTATCAACACCATGCGGCCATAGAAAGAATATGTCGTCAATATATCGGCTATAGTGAAGGGGTTGGAGATGAAGTAGATAGCATATTTTGTTCTAGGTACGACATGAATATATTGGCGTATGAGGGCGCCATTCTGGTGCGCATGGCAGTACCTTTGGAGATAGTGTTTGTTATTAAACTGAAAATTGTTGTGAGTGTAATGTGTATGTGTGGTAAACTACGAACGTGTATGTGTATGTGTGGTAAACTACGAACAATAAGACAAAAGCAGGGTATAAGTAAAATGTTAAATCATATTATCATTTAAAGCCTACAATTATAGTTCTACTATAATATATTTAGTCTATACCATATTAATTAGCTAATTTGAGCAGAGAATAAACTAAAGAAGGAATGTGTGGTTTTGCACTGAAGTGCTGCATTTTAGATTTATTACAACATTCATGACACTTGAGCAAAGGGTAGATGACTCACAGATCTAGCTCGCTTCTCTTAGTGTTGGGTATATACTAGGAATCTAACTGACTAATCAAATTAGAGTATAATATTCCTCCACCAAACTACTTTCTATGCTAATGTTACTATGGTTTTCTACCTTCACAACATGGCTCCCTGCAAAATACACTTAAATTTAATAGCTAAGTATTCTGCATTTAAATAGATAAAAAAAAGATTAAATATATGTTGGCTCCTAGACGGGGAATTCTTTGGTCTTAAGCTTCATATGCTGGAACCAGAAGCACTACCTTTTGGATTGGTCTATCAAGATAAGATGGGGCTTGTTTTCTTCTTCCCTTTTGGTCAAGATTAGGATTCCCGACCAGCAGTTTAACTTTTCGTACTAGACCATCGTCGCTGGGATACACCAGGTCGACTCTTCCTAGCTGCCAATAGTTGCGTGGCTGGTTGTCGTCCTTGATGATAACCACATCTCCAATTTGAAGATTTCTTTCAGGTTTCGTCCATTTTTGTCTAGGCTGCAGTGTTTGAAAATATTCTCTCCTCCAGCGATACCAAAACTCATTTGGGAGGTGTTGCACACGTCGCCATCTCTGTCTGGAGTACAGGTCTGGACGTTGAAAATTACCAGGTGGGGGTAAGCAAGATCTTCGACTTCAACGTCAGTAGATGGTTAGGTGTCAATGGTTCAGGAGAGTTGTGGTCTGACAGATTGTCTGTAGTCAGGGGTCGGGAATTGACAATGTTTTGTACTTCAGTCAGGAGTGTTCGGAATGACTCGTCATTTAGTTGAGTACCTGTTTCTCTAAGGAGTTGTTCCAAGACTGATCTGACCGTTCGAATTTGGCGTTCCCACACTCCACCCATATGACTGGCAGCGGGAACGTTGAATTTGAAACCGATCCAATCACACTGTTGGCGAAGCAGGAACTCCATAACCTTACTCTGGTTAACTTCTTTGAGACCTTTCATCATCTCATTGTTAGCACCCACAAAATTGGTCCCTCTATCAGACCTAATCTGTCTTATAGGTCTTCTTACGTTTAAGAAGCGGCGTAAAGCGTTAATAAAGGCGTCAGTCTCCAATGAATTAGCTGGCTCTATATGTATAGCCCTGGGAGACATGCACGTAAAAAGAACGCCATATCTTTTGACTTGGCTTCGTTTTTCTTTTATCTTGAATGGACCAAAGAAATCCACTGCGCAATAAGTGAAGGGTAGTTCTTGTCCCATTCTGTCAAGTGGAAGATCGGCCATCTTTTGCGTCTGAAGAGCACCTCTCGTTCTCTTGCACGGTACACAGTTTGTTATCCACTGTGAGACAGCATTTGAGCCATTGATGATCCAGTATCCACGCTGACGAACTTCATTATGTGTTGCAGTTCTCACCATGTGACCTACTTCTCTGTGGTAGTGTTTTATCAGGAGATTAGTCACATGACCTTTTCTTGGTATGATTATTGGATGTTTCACTTCCATTGGGATATCTGCTCTCTTAATTCTGCCACCAACTCGAAGTATGTTTTCTTGGTCTAGGAAAGGATCTAACTTGTAGAGAATACTTGCACGCTTTAAAGATTGGTTCCGTTCTCTTGTTCCGTTTCTACCAATTATTTCTCCTTTAGTCTTTAGATTCTTCAAGATTTCAATCTCTTCTGGGAATTTCTCCAGCTGTGAGCCTTTGATGATAACTTTTTTACCTTCATTCAAGTCTTTGACATTTGTGGCTTTCGGCTCATCTGTGCCTTTCTTGATCATAGATTGTTGAATGTTACTTGCTTCCATCCACTTGTTTTTAACTTTTTGACAAGTAGATATGGTTCGTACGGCATGGATCCAAGTAGGGTAATGTTGCAGCTGTTTACTGCTGATGTATGGAGTTGGTTCATCCACATGAGTACTGAACACAGTTGCCTTTTTCATTTCTTTCTGCATCAGCAACATTGATTCATTTTCAGCCTCTATTTCAGGACGTTCACTCAGTCCGTCTAGCCAAAGAAAGCCTGGACCTTTAAACCATCTGCACTCTCTAGTTAGTTGACTAGCACTCATGCCTCTACTGGCATCGTCACTTGGATTATCAGATGTTTTAACGTATGCCCACATATTTGGGGAGCTTAAGTTCCGAATTTGCTGCACCCTGTTAGCTACATACACATGGAATCTCTTGCTTTTCGTTGTTTATGTATCCGAGAACTACCTTGCTATCCACCCAGAAGAATTCTTTCAAATGTTCGTACCGTAGTTCTCTTTTCACAAGATCACTTATTTTAGCTGATACAACAGCTGCAGCCAGTTCTAATCTGGGTATTGTGATCATCTTATTGGCAGGTGTAACTCGAGCCTTTCCAATGAGGAAGGAATTTTGGTTCAACATGCGGACGTATGTACATTGGCCGTAACCTACTTCACATGCATCTGAAAAATGATAAAGCTCTATAGCTTTAACTTCACCAAAGTTTGTTGGTTTAAGACATCGATTTATTTGCAGGTCTCCTAGTAGGTGAATCTCGTTTCTCCACTTCTCCCATCTGGGTCTCAGACTATCTGGTACTGGATCATCCCAGTCAACTTTGGATCTGCATAACTCTTGTAGAATAATCTTTTCCACTAAAACTACTGGAGCTGCGAACCAAAGTAGATCGCATATTGAGCTTATTGTTGAGAGAATTCCCCTGCGAGATAAGGGTTTGTCTTTGAGTTCTATTTTAAATTGGAAGCAGTCCACCTCAACATACCAGCTGACTCCTAAAGCACGTTTTATTGGTAAGGTGTCGGTATTAATGTCGAGCTCTCTAAGTCCCTTGGCTCTATCTTCCTTGGGAACAGCATTTAGAACTTCAAAGTGCTCTGCTTGAAGTAACAATATCGATTGCTTTCTCTACTGTTGGAAATGACGCGAGACCATCATCCACATAAAAGTCATTTCTCACAAAGCTTCATTACCAAACTCCTCCTCTCCATAATTAGCTGTTTGTTTTAAGCCAAAATTTGCGCATCCAGGGGAGCTCGATGCTCAAAACAAATGGACAGGCATTCGGTATTCTACGATGTCCTTGTCCATATCACTATCTTTCCACCACAGGAAGCGCAGCATATCTCTATTATTCTCCGTCAAATAAAACTGATGGAACATAGACTTGATGTCTGCCATTATGGCGACCTCATCTTTGCAGAAACGGCAAAGAACACCAACAAGTCCATTAATTAGATCAGGACCCTGGAGAAGGTAGTCATTGAGTGAGACACCTTGGGATTCAGCAGAACAGTCGAACACGACTCGTATTTGGTCAGGCTTCTTGGGATGGTAAACGCCTGTATGAGGCACATAATTTATGTTGCCTCTATTGTTGGTCTGCTCTGGCACAGTCTCTGCGCTGTTACTAATCAGATCCTTCATGAGGGTGACATAATCACTTCTGAATTTGTCATCCTTTTGTAATCTTCTCTTCAACTGCATTAGCCTCTTGACTGCTAACTGTCGATTGTTTGGCAGTTAAATATTTTGTGATCGTAGTGGTAGTGGCATTTCATAGTGGCCATCATCCCTCTGAACGATGTTGTCTGTCAGTGTTTTAATAAACTTCTGGTCGTTGGCTTAAAGCATCTCTTGTTCAGAATTATGGTCAGTAAAGTCCACTTTGAACATCTTCAGAACCTGTTGAGGACTAAACACCTCTTTAACATTAGTGGAAAATGTCAATCTATTTTTTCCTTGATCTGAAGGGTGGCTGCGATATTCAGCAGCAGTGATGGGATTTGCAGTGACCTTGATTGGATTTGCAGTGTGACACACACCTCCGACAATACCCTATCCGAGTATTGTTTGTTGAGCATATGGCTCATCCTCTTCCCCAGCTACTATATCCCTCGGCCTAACAGCACTGGGAATGTTGTTTCCAATGAGAAGGCCAACCTTAACATTCGCCATGTATGGAATTATCTTATCCGACACTTTGCATAGATGTGCCCATTTACTAGCTGTTTCTGGTCGTGGAATCTGAGAGCGTTCCACTGGAATTGTGTCTCGTGTGTAAACGTTCGGCAAGGGTATTATTACTCTCCTATCATTACTCATCACTTCTAAGTCTCTCACACGACGACTAGCTAGGCACAACTGCATCAGATTTCAGCATAGTAGATATGGATAAATTGGTCTCTTGGCCATCAATGTTTAATTGTTTCCTGGAGTCCTCAGAAAGAAAGCAAATGTTACTCTGAGGATCCAACACACAGTACTGTAGAATTTCATGTGACGGATCCGACTTGTTTCTTACCCATACTGGTACAATCATTGAGTTATCTGTAGTATAGTATGTTGCATCACCACATATTTTTGTGCAATGAGATGTACTATTGACATAAGTACTAATGGCCTTTTTCTCATAATGAAGGCAGGAAAGATGAAAACGTGAACATGTCTTGCATTTTACTCTACTTTGGCATGCAGATCCTCGATGATTTTTGCTCATTCCACATACGTAACATAGACAATTGTCCATTAGAAACTGTTTTCTCTCTTTTCGTGATATTTTAGTAAATTCTTTGCAATCATCAATGTGGTGTTTAATATTGAAGAAAGGACACAACAAGTTCACTACATGGTCCTCCTTTCTGTTCTCGTTTACTTTGGTTGCAAATGACATGGCATAGGTCTTTTTAAAATTATCTGGTTTTGCTCTAGCATTTGAAGTGTAGTCGTTTTCAAATATTGGGTTGTTGGCCTCTTTAGATTTGGTCTTCAGAAACTCGGCAAAGGCATCAACTGTAGGGAATCGTCCTTCTTGGCTTTTGCTTTGTACAATGCTTCGCCATTTGTTTTCTATGTACAGAGGCAGCTTTGCTACTAACTTAGCATTTTCCCTTGCGAAGTCCAGAATCATAAGGTCAGGGATTCGCTTTTTGGCTGCAACAACCTCATTCATGAAGCCTGAAAACTTCTGAAGGCCTACTGGATCTCTTCCGGTTTTCTTTTTTTTTTGGCCATGCAGACAGTTTGTTTATGAAAGCTTTAGCAATTACAGTGTTGTTGCCATATCTCTCCTTCAGATCTGCTTTCGCTTGATTGTATGCATCTTCGGTCTGTAGTAGCAAATAATTTGAAATCATGGCCTTCGGTTCGCCGGCCAGGTGTTCACTTAAGAGGTTTAATCTTTCATTGAAAGATACAGCTTTCGATTCTATTAAAGCGTGGAAAGACGATTCCCACATTGGAAATCTCATCGGATCTCGACTAAACACTTCTACCTTAACTTGCGGTAGTCTGAAGGAGTCCACAAGTTGCTTAATAATTGGTGTCGTGTCGTGAATTGGATTGTACGGTGATGTGCAATTGGCAGTTGTTGAAGACATGGTATTAGCTGGTGGCCTCCATAGTGTAGACATTTCTTGTTGAACAATAGGTGGTGGTATAAAAGGTTGTGCAGTCGCACTTAATCCAGTATTGTCAGTTATGATATTTTGATCGGAAATAATTGGTGAGTTAGACTTACGTGTCGATGTAATACCATTTTCCGGGTTTGCCTGTGCTTCGGTTGTTTTTAGAATTGGTGTTTGGCTTGAATCAAGAAACTTCTGCATGTCTTGTTCTTTGTTTGTCGGAAGAAGCCACTCAATGCTTTCTTCTTCATCAGAATCAACTTAGAGACATGCTTCCATTTTCGCTTTTGTCTTTGCTAGCTCTTGCCTTAACTGCAACTTACGCAAAAATCTTTCTTGCTGTTGGATCTGCTGCTCCAATTTTGTATTTTTATCTTCAAACGCTAGCTCTACATTTAGTGCTGCTTCGGCTTCTGCTAGGGCACGCATTTTAACTTTGATGAAAGGGACACAGGATGCCAGACTTCGATGCACATTCAAACTCCAACTCGTTTATTCTATCGTGCACATCTTTTAGAGCCACTGATTTGGCGTGTTCGCATTCTTTTAACATAACGATTAATTTTTCTTTGTCTTCTATTCCTACATAATCAATCGCTTCAGCATATGCCCTTTTAAGCAATTCATATTCCGTTTGCAATGTTTTCCTTTGTGACTGTAGAGAATTGCAGTCATTTGACGTGATACATAATGTTTGTAGTTCAGTTACGATTTCATTTAGATTCTTCTTGTTACTTAAGAATTGTTTTATCTTTGTACTTACAAGATATTCTATTCCTTTATCCGTAAGTTTTCTGGTTCTTTTGTCTCGATCCTCAACCATACTTGGTGGTTCCTTTGTCAACCTGTATACTACAGCATGATTTTACAAAATCCACAAAAAAAACTTTACTTCTATTCCAGTTTACTGTAATGGTAGATGACTTCTTAGAACCCAGGCCTATATTACAATCACCTCCAAAAACTGTACTTAATGTTCCCAAACAGCTCAAACTCAACAGAATTAACACAGCTTTACAATATATGACTTATTTGTGTTTATTTCCGATATTCCTTCAATCGTCAAAACAATAGTGCTGATATATATGTGTGGTAAACTACGAACAATAAGATAAAAGCAGGGTATAAGTAAAATGTTAAATCATATTATCATTTAAAGCCTACAATATTAGTCCTACTATAATATTCAGTCTATACCATATTAATTAGCTAAATCAATTAAACACATAATTAACGGAATTATCGTAATAAAAAAAAGTGAGTAATTACCTGGATAGGGGAACTAAACTGGATAATTATGGATTATTCTTCTTATACTGTTGACACACCATACTGTTACAAACTGAGAATAAACTAAAGAAAGAATGTGTGGTTTTGCACTGAAGTGCTGCATTTTAGATGATTTATTACAACATTCATGACCCTTGAGCAAAGGGTTAAGATGACTCACAGATCTAGCTCGCTTCTCTTAGTGTTGGGTATATACTAGGAGTCTGACTGACTAATCAAATTAGAGTATAATATTCCTCTACCAAACTACTTTCTATGCTAATGTCAGTATGGTTTTGTACCTTCACAACAGTGAGTAAGGGTAAATTTGATAATACCTGTAGATGAGAGCTCGGTAGCTAGGTCAACGGAGAAACCTTGGTCAATAAGAAATTTATAACAACCATCGATATCTTCAGAATGTGGGATGTTGGTATATAATGAACTGACATCCATAGTGACGAGGAGCGTATTAGGGGGTACGGAATCAATAGAGTTGAGTTTCTGAAGAAAATGAGTGGTATCTTTAATAAAACTGGGTATAGCAGGAAGTAGAGGATTAAGGATATAGTCAATGTAGCCAGAGAGATGTGTTCGGTAAGAGTGCCTCGGCATGAGACGATAGGTCGGCTATGAGGAGTAATCGATAAAGATTTGGCTACGTCATATAGTAGAGGGGGTCGAGATAAGACGAGGTTAGAGGGGTAGCAGTGGAATGATGAGGGTCAATATTAGTGGCGAGATTGTCCAGCTTGTCGGCTACTATTTTAGGAAGCTTATGAAGTTTAGGTAGTAAAAGTTTTAGTGTAAAATAAGGCCGGTTCTAGGAGAAGATGGAATGAGAGAGTTGAGGTCAGTTTCAATATGGCTAAATGAAGAGATGAGGGAGCGTAGTTCGCTGGAGTAGGTAGGAGTAGGTCAGTGAGCATAGGACGGTAAGACAAAGGGTCATTCAGTTGTTGTTCAGCTTCATTAATATGATCCATTTTATCTAAAATAGTGATGGAACCGCCTTTGTCTTCCTGGCGGATAACAATGTCATTGTTTACTGACTTCAGTTATAGCTTTGCGTTGTTTTTTTAGTTAGGTTGTCTTCGTAATCTGTTTGTGAGTTCTTAGCGATGAAATTGTCTAGATGAGCTTTAGCGGTTTTGGTGAAGGAATCAATAAATGAGTTTCTTCCGTCAAGAGGCGTCCATTGTGATTTTTCGCGTGTTGCTGTTGGTTGATATTTGTCGATGGGAGTTATTTCTTTGTTCTTGAAATAATCCTTTAGTTTACATCGTATTAACTATAATATACCGGTATATACCCAGCTAGCAAAGCGACGTTGGCCCAACGTTGGTAAAAGTTGGCAAGCATCGGGGTCGGATATCTCACGTTGGTACGACGTTGGTGTTTGGTTGCAAAATTTGGTCGGAGAGGTAACGTCAAACCAACATTGGAATTTCACGTTGGCCCAACGTATGAATATATTTGTCGATTTTCTGATGTTGTCCCAACGTTGGTAAGTTGTCGTAAATATTCAGTCTGACTACCGACGTTGCTACAATGTCACGATTTGTTACTGGCCCGACGTCGGCAAACTACTAAAAAGATGTTTGGGTACTACCGTTGGCCCAACGTTGGCTAGAGGTTGTAAATATTAGATGTGATTGTAGACGTTGTCTTAACGCCACAGTACGTTGTTGGCCCGACGTCGGTAAACGTTTGAAATGGTGGTTGGTTAAAACCGTTGGCCCGACGTTGGTTAGAGGTTGTAAATATTATGATGTGATAACAGACGTTGTCGCAACATCATAGTACTGTGTTGGCCTGACATCGGTAAACGTTTGAAATAGACGTTGGTTACCACCGTTGGACCGACGTTGGCAAGAGGTTGTAAATATTAAATGTGATTACAGACCTTGTCTCAACGTCACAGAACGCTGTTGGCCCGACGTCGGTTAACGTTTGGAATGGAGGTTGGTTACAACCGTTGGCCCGACGTTGGTTAGAGGTTGTAAATATTAGGATGTGATTATAGACGTTGTCCCAACGTCACAAGTACTTTGTTGGCCCGACGTCGGTAAATGTTAGTGGAGGTTGGTGACAACAGCTAGGCCGACGTTGGTTATAAGTTGTAAATTTAAAACGTTTACCGATGTCGGGCCAACAGAGTACTGTGATGTTGCGAAAAACAAAAATTGGTTCGTGTGGGAATCGAACACTCAACCACCAGGTTTGCTATTCATTATCCATAATTCATAATCTTAATTTTAACTTTTTTGCTTGAATTTTTTACATTGAATATTATATTGAATAAAATCCATGAATGGATTTATCGCATTTATGGCTTAGGGGCCGCGGTTTACCTCCCTCCGTTTAGTCATGCTGGATCAGGGGTAGTAAACTCAGCGATCGTGGGTTCGATTCCCACACGGGGCAAGTTTTTTTTTAAATCTTTTATTTATTTTTATTTTTATTATTTTGAAGGTCGTGGTTCGATTCCCACACGAGTCAGTTTTTTTTTTCTTTTTTTTTAAGGCAGTTTAGTTGATGGTGGATAATGAATAGCAAACATGGAGGTTGTGTGTTCGATTCCCACACGAACCACTTTTCTTTCCTTTAAGGCAATTTAGTTGATGGTGGATAATGAATGTATCGAAATAACAACAAACAACAACGTGTCATGTCCGAGCCTAGGCCGTCATGGAAGCTCACTGGCTCCTGTGTAATCAATGTTGGGCCAACTGCAGACGAAAAGGTTACAATCCTTTCAGAGATAAGCTGGAAGAAAGTTTTAGACAGTGCCCATCAATGGAAGGATTTTAATACTGAGGAATGGAAGTTACCGAATTCCTTGGCTTGCTTAACCGTTTTTCTTCGATCGTCGCTTCCAACCATCTAGGCGCGTCTAGCCTAAAGAGGGCCTAAATAGCAGGTCGTTACCCACATCTTTATATTTGCGCAAGTGATTAAACTTTTTTATTGAGCAGATTAATCATACTGATAAACATTTGTACTACATTCGGCTGATGATGTTCACATCATTCCAAAAAGATAGGGGTTGAAATGAACCATAACATCGGGGTAACCCCCTACCCTTCCGAAAGATGCAATGGGTTCTTTAAAAAAAAGTGCACACGAGCCATATGTATACACTTGACCTCCATTTTAAGTCCTTATCCGAGAAGACTTGGTTCTTCCAACCGAACCATGGGCGAGGAGCGGCTGGAACCAGCGCAGCTAGCGGCGTCCCTGTCCACTCGACTCGCCTTAACTTAACTTGCTTGCGCTACCACGACAAAAAAAAAAAATATGAATGCTATATAACTATTTTGTCTTGGCCAGACTACTTGGTACAAAACCGTTTACTAAGCTGGATTAACCATGATGCTTGCTCGGTTTCCATACAATCGCTCACCCTATCGGTGACAGTCGCCGGCAGCTGTTGTTGGAAAGGTTGAACCTGGTTCAACTTTGCCGATCATTCAGGGATGGTCCAGAGTGCGAAGGGGTTTCAAAGGCTTATCTAATCGATTTTAGAGCAGCTCTCCCCAACGACGGGGGAGCCGTGCCCTGCCCCCGATCACCCCTCTGGCGCCACCCCTGCCGATTTCGTTTCAGACGAATCAAGGTGCATCGACTAGCTACCCTGACGTAATTATGAAGGCACCCCGAATCGGCAAAGTTAAACCAGGTTCAACCTTCCCGACAACTGTCGGCGCCTGTCGCCGATAGGGTGAGCGATTCTATGGAAACCGAGCTTTACCTGGGATAAAGCGGATTTATGTTACAGCCGAATCCACAGCAGTCGTGGTGCTGATATTGCTCGATGGGGGTTGATATTCCAAACTAGAGAAGGAAGGGGATGGGTGCGATGTCACCAACGTATGGCCGATGTTCCCGACAAGTGCCGATGTCCCTGACGGGGAAATAGGTGATGTCCCTCCAATCCATGAATGCAGAATAATTTGGAAGAAGGCATTATCTCCACCAAACAATTAACAGATCATAATGACCCAATCACAGAAGACAATTACGCATAGTTAATTAGTCATGATAGCATGTAAATGCACATAATGCCTAGCTTTACTTCGGTTTAAAAAAATGGCATATTAAAGAATCTTCCACCACTAATGAGCGAGAATAAAAAAAGGCCTTTTGGAGGAACATGCCTGTTGGCGATTTCGCAGATTTGATTGATAATTGAGTGAAAAATCAGGCCAATAATTGCAATAAAATACAGAAAATATCATTATATTGAACGCTGATTAAAGTTATAAAATCACAATAAAAATAAAGAAAAGAATATTTCATTATCTTCAATGCTGTTAAAGTAATAAAATCACAAAAAAATTAAGAAAAGAATATTTCATTATCTTCAATGCTGGAAAAATGATGTTGACAAATAAAAGGGAAAACCTACAACTCGTATAACTTTGATTCATTTAGATTATATTTATCTGCCACACCATTTTATAGAACCTCTCATTTACCTCACCGAATATTGTCTTTAATTTCGAATAATAGCTTAAAAAGTATAATTTTTGTATTTGGGCACTTTTTACATGATTCGTAAATATATGAAGATTCGAAATATGTAACTTCGCGTTTGTAAAATAGAAGTCTGTAAATTTAATATATGTAAATTAGAGGTTAATATTATTCTTCATAATATAACCATCATATATCAATATCATTGTATTCTGATTGAATATAAAAATGATAGCAGCTTAATTTGAACAATAATAATTTTATCTAAATTATACGTGTACAATACAATGACGACTCCTAAATTGATTATAAATTTATACTATAATATTAATTTTCACTTACATGGACTAAATTTCGTGAAATATATAATTGACACTGGCATACATTATTTGTACTGTAATTTGGCTACGTAAGATACACATTTCACTGGAAAAACTGGAGTTAATGCCTTACTTCAGATTTTTCACGCACCATTGACTCCTGTTAAAATTTGGAATAGTGCATTATCTCCATTTAAATAGGGTTAAAGAACAAAAATCACCATGAAAATTATTTAATGTTTTTTAATTATATGTTTAGTATATTTGCCAAAAAAAATTACTAGAATTCATTTCCAGTATAAAAGGCTAACGACAAACGCGTTTTGCTCAATAACTCAAAACTAGGATTTTGGAGTTAATGCCTTTTTTCCAAATCACGGCAGTATATTCTGTATAATTATTTTGCAAGATTTTTTTTTTTTCAGAGGGGTGTTAACACAGATAGTGGAAGTACCTGCCAAGAAGATGTCTTTGAAGGTGTTCACAAGTAAGTATGAATAACAATTAACATAATTGTACACAGTAATTGATGAGGAACACTTTGTTTTGCACTATTTAAATGTATAACAAAACAAACAGAAACAAGAAAGGTCAAAGTTCAAAGATGCAAAGTCATATGTTTAAAATGAAATAAGGAACTTTTATCACCTTTCTACTGCTGTTTGTCAAGTGCGAGTTTTTGTTAGACTACGTAATAACAGCAACAACAACAATAATAATAATAATAATAATAATAATAATAATAATAATAATAATAATAATAAAACGTTATTATTAATAATATTATTATTAATATTAATATTAATATTAATATTAATATTAATATTATTAACTGAAATTTCAAAAAGAATTTTGAACCAAGTAAAATAATCCGTCTTTGTTTGGTAGTAGTTTGGTGTGTTTAATTATTTTCATGGTTTGTTGTTTTGCTTGTATCTGTTTAAGGTTGTTCTGTTCTCTCCTCTTATTGACTTGATTGAATTTTGTATTTTTTAAATTTGTCCAATTTCTTCTTGGATTTTGTTATATTATTTTGGTATATGTATGAAAAGCAACTACTTTTTAATAAAATTGTTCTATTGTTTTAAAGTTATTGTAGGCTTATTACTTTACTAAATTATTTCAAATGGAAAATTGAACTTTGAAATTTGAGCAATAAACCAGAATTTTCTCCCCAAATCCTTAAAGTGAATATAGGTAAGGCATATGTGTTACTTTGTATAAACCAATCTTGACAATTTTGACCCTTAACTATTGGGACTTCATTTTTATTTTTTGCGCACTTTTATATAATTCTAATTCATTCATCATGAAAAAATATTGGGAACATATATTGTTGTTTTAATTACATTTCTGCTGATTTCATATTATAAATTTGCCTTGAAAGTTATTTCTATAAATTAGTTATAATTCTACTTTAAATACTGTATGTCAATAAAAATTAAATTATGAAGAATTGTATGACATCATTATATGAATATGCCAAAAAACCCCTATTAAGGGGACAATTCCACGTTTTGGTTAGTAAATAGGGGTACCCCTATTCAGGGGACACCTCCTATTAAAGGGGAAATTTTTTTGCTCCCTAAGGTGTCTCCTTAATAGGGGTTCTACTGTATTTAAAATTCCTGGATCCGCAAGACGTGTAGTAGAAAAATGTAGTGTGGAAATAAAGTTAAGGTCTATTCTTAAAATTCATTAGATACGACTTATAAAAGGCTATATAGACGCCCCCACCCCAGCCAATGTTTGGGCCTGCGGCCAAGACTTCTTTATTTTGAAATTCGTCCCCTCCAGCTTTCAATCACGAATCGAGCCCCTTGCCTACCGTGATTCCCGATCCCCTTGGTTTAGTTTTACACACCCACATACCCCCATCTCCCACGGCAATCTTGGCAGTGTACCGCTTCGTCATGGGTGAACCTCTTCGTCATGACGAAGACAAAATTCCTTGACTCAAATTATATCATGCAAAGAAATGTCCTATTTGAAAATATGAATAAAGGCCTAATACCTTTGTTATTGTTGTTTAGTTTTTATACATCTTCGAAAATAATTTACATCCGCTAACACCATGAATACATGACTTCACAACAATCAGGATTTAAAGAATAAAAAAAAAAACAATAGGCCTAATAATTTTAGAGATATTCCTCGGCAGTTGTTTAAATTCTTTCCACTCCGTTGTTTAAAAACAGGTACAATTATACACATATTCCATTCTTTTTGAATTACATCAAGATGTTTCTCTTGAAAAGTTGTAATAGAGCATGATGGATAACATTACCTCCATTTAAAGAGCTCATTGGTAATACCATCCTTATCTGAAGCCTTGCAGTGATTTACAAGACTCAAGGCTTCCTTAACAGTGTCAGTTTCATTTTCAACTTCACATACAATTAACCCTCTTAAACAGTCTTGATTAAGCCACTTCGTATTTGATCGACATTTCTTTTCGTCAATTATATGCTACTGAAGATATTGTCGACTTCAGAAGGAAAAATAAAACTATTCACGAAAATATTTTAATCGATAAATGAGAATGTGGAAATTGCTGACAGACATTAAGTACTTGGGATTGATTATTGATAATGAACTTAACTGGGAAAACAACACTAAAGAACTCCATACTAAGGTAAATAAACGAATGTTATTTGTATATAGATTAAAACGGTTTAATGTTAACTCTCATCTTATTCATTTGTTTTATTCCTCAGTTGTCCAGTCAATCCTTGCTTATTGTATTATTATCTGGTTTTCCCATATCACCGTAGGCAGCAAAGGTAACCTATCGAGAATTGTTAACAAGACTGACAGAGTGATTGAAGCCAATATGGAATCCTTAGAAGATATCTTTACAAATGTTATACTCAAGAAATTTAATTTAATTATGCAAGACTCATCCCATCATCATTATACTCAGACATTATCGTAAATTAACCGGAAGGGTTAGACTCAAACAACAAAAATATCCACAACCCGTTTCAGACATTCAGCATTACATGCTTGTAATTTATTTAATCAAAATTTAAGAAGAAAAGTACATAAACTCCAAATTTTATTAACTAGGGAATTTTTAATTGATATTTATCACATTTATAAACAATTCTATGTTATGTACAAAAATATCTCGTAATTTATTTTTTGACAATAAAGTTGACTTGTATCTGTTAAGCATCAGTATTATCAAGTGCCTGTGTAATGCTGTAGTTTCACTAGTTTCATTTCTATTTGTGAACGTAATGTCTTATGAATAAGGTACAATAACTTAATACAGCCATGGTATATTTACTTTTGAATCTGTAATCCTTACAATAATTCCCGATCATTTGTCAATATCAATAGACTTGTTTATCTTTATTGTCACTGTCAACTGTTTTATTGAAGGCGTACATGGTTTTTCTTGTGCACCATTTGTTTTTCTTTATATCTCAAATTACTTTTTACAATGTTATTCATAATAGTTTCATGTTCAAGTCAGCGTTAAAGAACATGTTATGATCACACGTAGTCCATTGTTCTCAATGAGCTTAGACTCACTGACACACGGTATTTTTCCACGGGGCCCTTAGCCACTCGGCCTTTTGCTGGTTTTTCTTGTGCACCATTTGTTTTTCTTTATATCTCAAATTATTTTTTTACAATGTTATTCATATTAGTTTCATGTTCAAGTCAGCGTTAAAGAACATGTAATGATCACACGTAGTCCATGGTTCTCAATGAGCCTAGACTCACTGACACACGGTATTTTTCCACGGGGCCCTTAGCCACTCGGCCTTTTGCTGCCTTGCCTTTTGCCACCCGTCCATTTGCCACCCCGACCTCTTCTGCCATTTAAGACAAATTGCCACTCGGCCTTTTACCACATAGGCCTTTTGCCACCCATCTCATTGGCATCTTAGGTTTATAACTCTGACGTTTTTGTCACAAAAAAAGGGAAAAAATGCGGTGATTATAAAAATATGAAATGCACAAGCGTGAATCAGATCTAAGCGTATGAAACCGAATGAACGTAGCTATGATTTGTATTTTAGGTGTGTACTGTTTTTTTTTTTTTTTTTTTTTTTTTTTGTGCATTCACAATCCTTGTGAATGCACATCATCATTTAAATCTAAAATACATTAAATGTTATGGTGTTAAAATTTCAATGACTTGAACTAGAGAATAGAAATAATTATGAAAAATGAGAGTAACAATGATGATAATATACCAAAATAGCACTACTGTAATAATAATAATAATGGTGAAGATGATGATGATGATGATGATGATGATGATAATAATGATGATTAAATAAAGTCTATTACAAAGAACAGCATATTAAACCTGACAATGATTAAACATAATATATATATATATATTTTTACTTTATAGCGGTTCTTATAACTGTTACTTAAAACTAAGATACTGTATCTTAGTTTTAAATAGAGATATGTTTATTAACAGAGATATCTCTATTTAAATCTAAGATACCTCTAATTAAACTATAGTTAAACTAAGATTTAAACTAAGATATCTCTAAACAATGACATCTCTATTTAAAACTATAGATATATCTCTATTAAAATAGATATCTTAGTTTTAATTAGAGATATCGTAGTTTTAAATGGAGATATCTTAGTTTTAAATAGAGATAACTTAGTTTAAATAGCAGCATCTATATTTAAAACTAAGATATATCTAATTAGAACTAAGACGTAAAACTAAAATATAGATTAATGAAAACTCGGCCCGCCATTAAGAGTTTTCCAAATGTTCTGGACTTTACATAATCTTAAACATATTGCTTCTTAGTTGTTAATGTTTTTGAGACTTAGGGGCTTTGCGGAGGAATCGGCTGCTTCTCCAATTTTCGCCATAGGTTGGCAACGCCTATTGGATCATGTAGACTCTTAACAAGATCTTTTTTGACCTGTTGAATGTAGTCGCTTCGTTTCTTTTTACTCCTATTTTCCATCTCAACATTGGTTCCGCTTGACCATGACGTACGTGTATGCTCTAAGATGGTTGAATCTTTGTAGGTTTTGCCGAGAAATTGGTCGGTCCATTTGGAACAATACTCAATGCCTGGTGTACTATGATATTCTGGTGGCGGTAGAATAGTCTTTGACTTGATTTTTACTTCGGTTATGGTGGCATCATTTGTGCGTTTCTTTACTATTGAGTCGTACGTTCTGTCCACAAAAGCCACATATTCTTTTGCATATTTCTGAACTGATACAGCATAGGAAGATTCGGTAGGATCGGACACGTTAGGATCCACGAGGGCCAATTCTTGAAGCAATGTTAAATGCATTCCTGCACCAATGACAAATACACCCAATCCGGGTTCTGCATAAGCGTCTTCTTGCAAGACAGCAACCATATGGACTGCAATATCATATGCATTATCTTTGATCATATCAAAAAGTTCTTGCTTGCTAGCCCCACTCTCTTTACGTGGCGCATAGACATTACAGACATAACTTCGGATTCCCTTGATTTGTCCGTTGATTTCATTAATAGTATCTGGCTTGATTTCTTTCTTCACAATTTCGGCTATTTGTTTGTACACTTTGTCGAAATAACTAGGAACTTTACTGTCAGGAAAAACAGAGTCGAACATTTTGGTGCCAATTTTCCCTGTTATTCCTTTGAGCAATGCCATGCCAATATCTAATGCAATTAGTTCTGTCATGTTCTTCTGAAATTGTAAGAAGTTTTTCAAGATCTTAGTATTTACACATTTTAATGAGCAATAATTGAATTACGTAATCTACTCATATTGTGCGTATTGGTAAGCGTGATATTTCTGTGGTTGAGGGTTATCAAATGTTGACATTTAAATTTGGTTTACATTGCGACAATAATCAAGTTGATACGAAATAACGAAATTTCAAAATTAAGTCTGGTTTTCGCTTGCTTATCTTCATAGGCCCTATATTTTCACAGGGATGTACTATATCTTTTATTATATTTTTTTATTTTTATTTATTTATTTATTTTTTTAACGAACCAGACTTATTTTTTCTTTATTTCTGTGTTGTCCTAAAACGTTGCAAATGCATGTCCGTTGTTTCACCTCAGATAGTAAGTGCGGGCTCTACTGAGGGGAAACCATTAATGCTCATAATGATATGTTTTTAATCAGATAACGTGCGGCATTGTAATTAAAGCCTTGCCCCCGCCAGCGCCATCACTAACGAGGAGTACGTTACCTCAAAAAGGCCTATATTTATCTCAGCTCCACCATGGTTAGGGGCTGAAGGGAGAGAATTTTAGTAGTTGTGGCGCCAGGATTTCCCCGACGGGGGAGGGGGGGGAGGGTGGTTGCGGGTTCAAGTTTCCCGACGGAGTTGCTGATTTTCCCAACAAGATCAAGTGCCACTGCCACTGCACCCAGGTTCATTGAAATGGCACTCTCAGACTAAAAAAAAATACTTTTTCAAAGCAGTGTTTGACATTTAATGATATCCCAAGAGAATGCTCCCTGGATCCGCCACCATCAAGGGCGTCCATCCGTTGTGGGAAGTGGGGTGGGGGACGAATTGCAAAATAAGGAAGTCTTGAGCTGGCTGGGTGCCAGGTGCCGCCTAGGGGAAAAACTCTTTATTGACGCTCTGGCGTCTATAGACTTTAATAAGTCGTATCTGGTGTAGACCACCTCAGTCCCCTTATAGTTGGGACTGAGGTAAGAAAATTTATGATTATGGCACCTTTAGTTGGCCAGAAATGGCACTCTCCGACATAAATTTGAATACAAATTTTTTTTTCTCCATATTTAAATTTTGAAGAAAAATAAGGAGGTTGGCCGGCTGGCTTCCTTGAATCTACCACTGAAATACTCATAAAAAGTTTTTAAATTTATCTTAGTAATCATATTTCGTGCAAACTAACATTCATCATAAAAATAATTATGTATTATCTGATTAACTTGTGACGTATTCGAACCATGAAAACCAAATAAAATAACCCATGTTCCTTCACGGATAAACTTAAAACTTATCACTACCACAGGCGCGGATCCACACCGTCGTCAGGGTGAGGAATAAAAATGAAATGTTGACCATTTTTCCAACAAACATACTTGACACTTATTTTGAACTTATTGAATTATACAAGTTTCAGCGGCAGTGCCGTGTACCTTACTGTATATTTTGTCAACAAAGTAAATGTAGCTATTGTAATTATCCCAACACTAAAATGACACTGTGTGTTTAGCATAGATTTAAGGTAATACCCAGAGATTCACATGAACAACAGAACGAATAAAAATATATTTGGCTTGATTATTGTTTTCAGCAACATCTTCCTTGCAGTTTGAAGAATCTGTTCGTTTATCTTTTTATAGAAATTCCGTAATTAGCAATATTTTGTTTTAAAACCGTAGATCACCCCGAGCTTTAGGGGATTCCCCCATGTAGTGGCGGATTCAAGGGTAACTCAGTCGTCAAGGGCCCCGTAAATACTTCAACATTATTGTTAAAGAATGAAGAAAACATGAAAATTATATTCAAATTATGTGAGTGCCAAGTCGGGCCATCTATAGGCGACATAATCTAAACTTTTCTTACCTCAGCCCCAACCATTGTGGGGCTGAGGTATCTATCTGTGGAGGTTTCTGTCTGCGCCCCCTCTATTTCGAATTTCTGGATCAACCACTGTTTTCAGCAACATCTTCCTTAGGCCTGTCTTTTTGTAGAAATGCCGTAATTAGCAATATTTATTTTAAAACCCAGGTCACCTTAGCGTTAGGGGATCACCCATGCAGTGGCGGAATCAAGGGGAACCAAGCCGGCCCGGGCCCCGTAAATATTTCAAAACTATTTTTAAGGAATGGAGAAAAAAAGAAAGATAATTATATTCAAATTCTGAGAGTGCCATTTCCGGCCATCTAGAGGAGACATTATCTTGTTTTTTTTCCTTACCTTAGCCCCAATGGCAACCATGGTGGGGCTGAGGTGTCTAACTGTGAAGGTCCCTCTCTGGGCTCTTCCATTTTGAATTTCTACCATTTCAAGGACCATCCCATTTGTACAAAAGTCAGGGAAAATCCTGGATCCGTGCACGTACATCGTAGGTATCACTAAATAAATAAGTCAAAATAGATAGACCTATCCGTGTCAAGGGCTGCTGTATAATTATTGTTTAATAAAATTAAATTGACTAACTATAATGTTTTTGAAATTATGAAAAACAGGAATCTATGTATGCAGAAAATATTGAACACTAGTATACGCGGGCCTTAATAATAAACAAAAGAAATATATCGTTTATAGTAGAAATTGTGTACTTTTGAGTTTGTGAAACTGTTGGCTTAGTAGGTTTACACGCTTCAAAATTTAGTAAAGTATAGTACATTGATTTCATAATACATTTTGTCTCTGATAACCGTTGCACCCATAAAATCGATGGAGCGGTTACTGAGATGGATACAAAATGCACAAACAATTGCGATTTTACTCGGTTTTTATCTTGAAATACGCACCGCACTCGGAACAGAGCACAAGTAAACCAGGGAACAGTTAAATTAACTGTTCCCTGAGTAAACAGACAAAATACATGACGGTCGATCGTTTTGTTCTTTCCACTTCTATGAAAAGTGGGGTTTTAACTATAAAAAACTGGTGAAAAGGTGTGGGGACAATGATATGATGCCTCACCCACTGCCCACCGATCTACGCCCATAGCCATCACCAATAGTCAAACATTGCATCATCACGAGCCCCCACTTAATCCTTTATTCCCATCAGTCGCCCCCTCCCAATACTACCGGGCACTCGATACAGTGAGCTACACTCAGAAAACGCAAGAACTGGAGCAGAAAACATGTTCAGCATTAAACGGCATACATGTGTTCGTTGAGGTTTTTCTTTTGATTGTGCAATGGCTTTGGCTTGCCTAACTTCTATGCCTGAAATACAAGATATCTTAAACCAGTAGTCACGGTAATACCGCCTAGTCGGAGCAGCAAAAACATCTTCTTTGTAACAGATGTATTAACAGAAAATCTGTAAATACAGTACACTGAAAGTCGGCCTGAAAAATGATTTATTTTTTAGGAATGTTGCGGGCAGGAGCTAGCACACGAGCGCCGACGGGAGTTAAATACCGGGGCCCTAAAACAAGCATAAAGGAAAACTGTAAGTCGAGTTATATTGTGCTTTCTCATAAAAAATATTGAATAAATATAAATTTGGTATTGGTCACTTCGATATATTAAGTTAAATAGATATCGTCACCATATATAGCCTCATGGCGCTTTTGTGTATCACCTACAGTAGTTTCTAATGAATCAAATGGTTATTGTCTGAACATCGAAACTGTAGCATTTTTGTCAATCAGTGAATCCATTTATATGTATTTTTTCAACCTCAGGCACCCTAGCAACCCCTGGATGCACCACTGATATGATTAGCTGTGAATGCAAAACCAAAGAAATAAACCTAGTATGTATCGAAATCAACAACAAAGGGAAACCTTCCTACAATGAGCAAATTAATGCTGAGCGATACCACCCACGGCAATTTGCAAGAATTCAATGAAATTTAGTTTACTCACGTCAACGTTCAGTCCAGTAATATAACTGTGGTTGTTGCTGTCAATTCGAGATTGTATTGTGTAGATAATTGAATAGTAAATGGTAAAAGCTTTTCGGTGTTGAAGAAGCAATTCAATGCAAGGAGCAAGCAAACAAAACTGAATGGCAACGCATTGATTTTACACTATATATACGTGCACACCACTGAATCACAGTTGCGATAACGCCCTATAGTTCCGTCAAAAGTACACCAGCACTGCAATGCATTTGGGTAGTTGCTAAATACCACGACTTTAAACGAGAGAGCTGTGCCTTCTTTTGGTTACGTCATGAACGTATGGAAAGTCCTTTATCATTTTCCTCTGAATTACTAAATTATTATTCAACTCCATGGTAAACTTACATTACGATTTTGGTATTCTTTGCTATAAATTTATTGATTGTATTAAAAAATGATTTGATTTGGGTGGATACGGAAACTTCTTGGAAATTATACGTAAAGACCAAGGGCCGGATTTATCAAACTAGAAATCAGCTTAAATTCGTCTGAAGTCCGATTTATTAATATGGCTTAGCTTTAAAATTGCTTAAAATTAATAAGTCGATTGTACGCATGCGCCATCTAAGACGACATTTACATTAAGATTTTGCTAATGTGGTTTAATAATGATGGTATATGTACTATGTTATGCAACAATAATTGCGAAGAAGACATTAAATATGTGTTTATTTATTTGTGCTGCATTGAATTACGTAAGAGTCAGCGAATTCGTGAATTTGGAAAATTACCTATACATGTAATTGTAAAGAGGTCTGGCAATCATTTAGCTCAGCCGACATTGATTTTAAGCTTCGTGTCACTCACGCACAAAATAATGATGTGCTTATTGCATTTGACAAATGTTGTAAGTCGTATGCGATAGCATGGAAGAAGGGCTCAGAACAAATTTGATTGTATGTTTCGTTATATTCATTTAATTGCCTGAATTGCTTTTATAATTTACCTGAATTGCTTTTATGTCGGATTAGCAATTAGGAAATGGAGGGGTGGGTGGGGGGAAGATATTGAAGTTCATTGCAAGATGAGTTTAAGCTATAGGCTTATAATGATTTTACGCAACTCATTAATCTGTTGAATTTAAGGTCTATTATGAAAACTAACGTTTTGTACACTAGGTGTCAAATTGTTTGTTAGTCTGTGGTAGACTACAGAGTATTTTGTTCAATTGCTTTTTTTCTGTTCCTTTGTTATATTGTTGATTATAAGGATGCACTGTTCACTGTAAACGTGTGCCACCGATCTGAAGGTGTATATCCAAATAATTAAATCAATAAATAAATACTGTCAACCCTAGGCCGTTGCCTGAGTTACTGTTGGAAGTCTGGCTCTAATATTATAATTATTATTATTATTTTTATTATTATTATATTATTAATATTGTTATTATTATTATAGATCGTCGTCGTCACATTTTCAATGCATGGTCAAACAACAGTAATTGTCTATAATTTGTATGATCAGGACATTCTCCTTCATGAAAATCTCATGTATTCAAAAATCCGTAATATGCATGTACCGAAGATGAAAGTTTAACCTAAAATTTTGATATAGGCCTATGTTTTATGTTGTAAATGATCTTTAATGATATTCGTCGTTCGTATGAATCACAGGAGCTACACGGTTGGTTTAATGTTGCTTCCTTTATCATTTTTTTTTTTTTTTTTAATGTTTGAACAGTTTGTTATTTTTATATGACTTTATTTTCTATTTTTTCTATTTTCCTGTGCTTTTAATGTTACGGTAACGAGGAACCGAGTCTCACATTATTGTGATAATAAAGTATATATCTGTATCTGTATCTGTGTCTGTATCTGTATCATTTTAGCGAATAATCGCGTATAGTTCATTTTAGTTGCTGTTATAACTAGAACAGTCGTAGCAGGGTCGCCGACTAGCAGGTTAACAGCATTCTAATAATATGACCACAACATAAGGAAGTCCGGTCTTTAACTTCTTAGAACACTTAGTCACGCAGCACATATAAATTTATATTTCCTGAGTCCAGATCTTAAGGAAGTTCAGTCCTTCAAAAGTTTAGCAGCATATAGTACACAGAATTTTGATTGACGTGGGAATTTGTGTGTTAGATGGTCTTCTTTATTAATATTACAGTCTAATATGACCACAACATAAAGAGGTAGCAGGTCAAAATGGCACTCGGAAGTGACTAAACGGCAATACATAACCAAAACGGCAATAAAATAAAACGGTGATGATAATTACCAAAACGGCAACAGACCAAAACGGCAATGATAACAAGTTAACAAGTACCAATTAAAACGGCAATAGGCCTATAGACGCAATTATTAGACTTAGAAATTGGCCCGATTGTCAGTAGGCAAATCGGCATGGGTTTTTTCCCGCTTTTCATGTTTAATCAAGTTTTTTTTTTAATTTTCACACATCTATGACGATTGTTTAGATGCCTCATATTGTTTGCATTTTTAAGTTTTATTTATTTGAATGTTTACTTTTTTATATTGTGTTTTCCTCAACCCTGGTTATAATAATTGTTATTATGCCTATTTTAAATATTTTTATTATTGTTTTCATTATTATTTTTTAATTTTTTAATTTTGTTTTTATTTTATTATTATTTTTATTTTATTATTGTTATTATTATTATTATTATTATTATTATTATTATTATTATTATTATTATTATTATTATTATTGTTACTTATATATTTTTTATTTTAACTATTTTTTATTTTTTTCTATTTATTACAGTATTATTATTATTATTATTATTATTATTATTATTATTATTATTATTATTATTATCATCATCACCACCATTATTATCAATTAGTCTGTATCTTAAAATTTTGTTTATTTGGATTGTTACTGATAGGCTTACATTGTGTTCCCCCAATCCTTTTATTATAGGCATACCTTTTTGGTTTATTTTCGTTTTGGTTTATTGCAGTTTTGGTTGATTGCCGTTTTGGTCATTGCCGTTGGTCTATTGCCGTTTTGACCAGAAAGCCAGGGCAGTCTATTCTTTAAACAAAATTAGGTGAGCCGTACTAGTCTGATATAATAGAATATAAAACTCTGGACATTTAGTACTTCAAAGGCACACAGTGCACTTCTTCAGGTTAATGTGAAGCTAACATGAACTTAGCGGATATACAAGCTAATTTATTCAAGCATTTAATTGAGACAAAAGGGCTAAAGCATGGAATAAACAATATAAAAATAACAATGAGGATAGGTCAGGCGTCAGATATAATGTAGAGGTATTTCACATTATGCGCTACATAAATTGACAATTATTAATGTAAGTGAATGTAGAGACTAATTTAAAAACTGAAATGTACACTAATCTCAGATAAGATAGTGTAATACACACTCCAAGTATCGAAATGCACGCCATCGTGTTCGGATTCAATATTTCGACATTACTTATGTCATCTGATGATACTTGGAGAATGTATTATACTATTTTAGTCTAATTTAAAGTAGTAAACAATTAAATATAGAATTAAAACTCAAAGTATAAACATTAAACCGTATTGACCGAGGTCTAAATATGAATTATGAATAATTAATGTATAAAAGCATAGTACAGTAATCAGATGACATAATAATACAATTAATATATTAAAATAAGATATAATATAATATATAATAAGAGTGTCTATATAAATAGTAGATGTATATGACCATAATCTCAGTATCCTAAGCATAGGCCTAAACATAATAAAAATATATATAACAAGATAATCTGAGATAACAAACCGTCGTCCTGTTTCGCTATATCTTTGTATATAGTCGATTATAATATTACTGGCTATATCAGATGAAATGTAGCCGAGCCTTTCACGTATTATTCGTATGGGGTTCAAATCTTCCTGTTGTTTTTCTCCCCATTCAAAAAAAATATTTAGTTATTTTTGTTATTTGTTCATCTATGGATCACTATTTTTTTCATATTTTATTATTTTTGACATAAAAAAAAATTGGGACAGAAGATTGTGAGATATACGGCCTGAAAATATTTAAAACATTCTAAAATCCGCATTCACTCACGTGGAAGAGATAGGCCTATATATGGGCATCAATCGCCACTCCACATATCGAAGTAGGGGGACATCCTATCGATTGTCCCCCCCCCCCCCACTTCACTTTTCACCAATCTTCTATAGTTAAACCCCACTTTTTAAAGCGACTGGAAAGAACAACAACAATTACGAATGACTATGAATTTTTTCTATTCACTTGCGCTCTGTTCTAAGTGTAGTGCGTCATTCCGGACCAAGGCCTACTGAGTAAAAATTATTTTTTGTGAATTTCATAACAATCTCAGTAACCACTCCATCGATTTAATGGATGCAACGGTTATCAAATGCTAAATTTATTATGAAACAATGTACCGTACGTTGTTAAATTTGAAAGCGTGAAAACTTATTAGGTCAACATATTTACGAACTCGAAAATGCACAATTTCTACTATAAACGATTTATTCCTTTTGCATATAATTAAGGCCCGTATAAAGCCTACAAGTGTCCAATATTATCGGCATACATAGATTCCTGTTTTTTTTCCTAATTTCAAAGAAATTATAGTTAGTTAATTGAATTTTATATAACCGTAAACAATAATTATACAGTTGACACGGAGGTCTGTCTATTTCGACTTATTTAATAG